CCGGGGCCCCGCTGGCACCCAAGGCCCTGCTGGTTGCTCCTGGTCAGCAGGCTGCCGTGGCCCGTCCGCATCCCAGGCAGACCCCGGGCCACTAGCTCCTGTCTAGCTGGGGCCTTCCTGCTAGCCTCCGAGCCCGGCGTGCTCTCCGGAGGCCTTTGTCCCTCTCCTGCCCCTGTGTGGCTCTCCACAGCTCCATTCACCCAGACCACCCGCCCGCCCCTTTAACCTGTCTGCCCGCTTCTGCCTGCGTTTGTGCAGCCTAAGAGTGACGGGAATGACCTCCCGAGAGTTAATTCGGATTCACCCCTTTTTGCCGAGTCTCAACTGGAATGTATGCCTTACTGTTTTGTCAGTCATAACAAGTCTGGAATCAGCTTAGTTTTAAAAGTTTTTGTTACTCCGTGCTGAGGTATACATAGCCTGAGGGCTAGAATTCCGCGCTGAGATCTGTGGTGCGGTGCTAAGCACTGTGGGAGTGAAGAATCCTGTGCCTTTGGCAGCACCTTGGCGATGTGACTCATACCTAGGTTATAACATCTTGGTGACTCATACCAGGAGTACGGCGATTTTAGAGGTAGAAGGAGTCAAATTATTTGACTCTAAATTAAATTCTTTCTTACAAATATCCTTGACACCTGGCCACCAGTGACCTGCTTCAGCACGTTCAGTGATGGGTAGGCTGTGGCTGTTGCATGGAATTGCCACCTTTTCTGCAGCCTTGCTTTGCAAATATTTGAAAACAGCCTGTCCCTAGATTCTTGTTATGCTAAACAGCCCGTTTTCTTCACATGGCTCTCATGGCTAGAGCGGTGATAGATGCACCTGTTACTGCCTGGCCCTCTTTCCTACCTGCTGATAGAGGCACTGACCAGTGGGAGGGATGCTGGGACCCCTTAGGAATGGTGCAACCCTACACACATCCAGAAAGAATACCATCACTGTAGCTCAAAGTCAGAAATGCTAGCGCAGCTTTGAGAAAGATGTGAGAGCAGCGGAGTTCAAGTTGATAGTATTTTATCCATTTATTTAATAATATGATTTGAAGACCATGTTTAAAGCACCTAACCTCTGAGGCAGACAGTTGTTTTTATTTTCATGATAGAGATGGCAAATTTGAGGAATAGTGAGGTCAAGTAACTTGTCATTAGCACTTTCGACTCAGAGTGTCAAACTGAGCTTTCAGTCCAGGCATCCTGACTCCAGAGTAGCTTTTAGCTACTACTAGATGTTGTGTCCCCTCTAGAGATTAGAGGTCAGTTTGTAACAGATACAGAGAAGTTAGAATCACTGTATGGAAACTAGTGGGCAGAGTATCCTGTGGAGAAACGGTAACTGTTTTGCTGATAGAAATGTGTCTCCTACTGTGCTACATTGTGTAATTCTGGGGTAGGAGGAGGGGAGAGTAGAGGAAAACAGCTGCTGAGAGTTAGCTAGAAGTCAATGCCAAACAGGACAAATACAGTAGACCTTCAAGTTATGACCTGACATACAAATAACTTGGGTTAATTAGGTGAATGGGAGATTTATCTGCCTCTTGTTATCTATGGTGTGTACCCAAGTAAACATCCAGATCTCAGCTGTATTGATTTATAATAATCTTGAGTTACAGCTACCCTCCGAACTGACCAAGTATGCAGGTCAAGGGTCCACTGTATCTGTGTGTGTGGTTCTTTCCTGTTAAAGCCTTGTTTAGAGCTATCGCTGAGCTTCTGCATCCTTCACAGTCACAGTATGTAACCACTGCTGTATCTCTGCCACACTACCGTATTCCTAGATAGATAACTGTCCTCAGTATCAGCAAGAAAGTTAAGTTTCACTTTAAATCAAGACCAAGACGTGTATGAAGCATGATCAGAATACTGGGTTAACAAGGCACAGAAATTTGGAGTCCAATTTATCATGACTTTAAAGTTTCAGTGAGAGTTGAGAGATTAAAACTGCAGCTTCCTAGAAAACTCATATCCAGAAGTCCCTGCAAATACCACATTATTATCCACCTTCATATTTTTTACATGTCATCCCAGAAGCACTTTAGCAAAAGATTTATTGTGTACTTGGTTGTCTTTCTTTTTTTCTTTTCCCCTCCTTTGCAGTATTTGGCATTGAACATCCCCATCCCTTTTAATATTAAGTTAGTTGAATTGCTTTATTTTGAGACAGGGTCTTGCTAAATTAATAAATTGCTCAGGCTGGGCTTGAGGTCAAAATCCTCCTGCATCAGCCTCCCAGAGTCCTGCAATTACAGGACTCTTCAGGGGGCACATTTTCTAGTTGGTAGATGGGACACATATGGAACAGTGCATACCAAGCATTGAATGAACATCAACAGAGAGGATGTGCTCTGACAGCTCACACAGGGCATAAATGGAGCGGGAACAGTGCTGTGGAGACAGGAGCTTGAGGCCAAGGAGTGGACTAGGATTAGCATTGTACAGTTTGTGTTGTTTTGTTGTTTTCAGTACTGAGGACTGATCTCAGGACCTTGCTCCTGCTAGGAAAGCACTTTATCACTGAGCAACATCCCCAGCCTTTTTGTTTTTTATTTTCAGACAGGGTCTTACTAAATTACCCAGGCTGGCAGTCTTTCTGCCTCAGCCTCCAGAGTAACTGGGTTACTATGTGTGCCACTGTCCCTGACAGCCTTGCACAGTTTAAAGTAGACAGTTTCTATTTTGGTATCATTTTACCTCTTCTTACTTTTCAAGTGGAAAAACTTTCAGTTTTTGTCTTTGTTCTAGGAATACAAGGTTATCAATAGTAGAAAAATGTGTACAATTTTTTGCCTTCACAAATGAAAAATGATATATGTTCATAATAATAATTGCAGAAAGAACATCCAGCTTTTAGTTATAAGAAGTACTTACATGGTGATGTATACCTGAAATCCCAGCTACTCAAGCAGCTGAGGCAGGAGGATGACAGGTTTGGGCAATTTAGCAAAAACCATGTCTCAGCCGGGAATTTAGCTTAGTGGTTCTGCTGCTTTCCTCGCAAGCACAAGGACCCGAGTTCAATCCCCAGTACCAAAAAAAAAAAAAAAAAAAAACAACCCCCAAAACCATGTCTCAAAAAGATATAGGAACATAATTCAGTGCCCTGGATTCAATGCTCTGTAATATTGGGGGGGCATTTGGCAGACTACTAGTACAAAAAAAAAATCCTTTATTTTTTATTTTTCTTGATACAGAGGATTGAACCCAGGGGTATCATACATGCTAGTCAGGCACTCCACCACTGAGCTGCGTCCCTAGACCTTTGGGGATTTTGAGATAGAATGTCAACTAAGTTGCCCAGGCTGGCCTCTATGTTGTCATCCTCCTGCCACCGCCTCCCAGGTAGCTAGGATTGTAGGTATGTGGGTATGTGCCACTATGCATGGTGGAAAAAACCAAAAAACCTTTCTTAACCTTGTAGAGTATTTGTAGAAAACTTGGAGTTAACATCATCACAACAGTCAAATTTTAAACATTTCCTTTAAAATCCGAAAGAAGTGGATATGGTATGTACCTGTATTCCGGTACTCTGGGAGACTAAGGCAGGAGGATTGCAAGTAAGAGCCCAGCCTGGGTGACTTAGTGAGACCCTATCTAAAAATAAAGACAAAAAGGGCTGGGAATGAAGCTCAGTGTAAAGGCCCTAGATACCACCCCAGGACCATAAACAAATACTGTAAGCAAAAAGCCCAGAAACAAAACTGGGCATGGTGGCACAAGCCTGTAATCCTGGTACATGGGAGGCTGAGGCAGGAGGATTGCTTTGAGTTCAAGGCCAGCCTGGAATGTATACAAGAACCTGGTTCCAAAAAAAAAAGAAAGCAAAGGGGGCCAGGGATTTAGCTCAGTTGTTTCGCAGCCTGCCTCACAAGCGAAAGGTCCTGAGTTTGATCCCCAGTAACAAACAAAAAAAAAAGCAAAGCACCCAGAGTACAGGCACGGTAGTGCACCATGCTCTAATGCCATTCTTTGCTAAGCAGGCTAGCAAAGGAGGCCGATAATGGAGGCCAGCCTGGACCACATAGACTGTCAAAAAACAAATCTAGAAATGAACAGGATGCCTGCTATTACAACATCTGTTCAATCTCTGCAAGAAATAGCCAGTGCAATAAGATGAAGACTAGAAAAAAGATAATAGAGATGTTTAGCAAGTTCATAGTATATAGAATACCAAAGTTGATAACATTTCTACATTAATAAATAAGAATTCTTTTTTAAAAATTGAATTGTTATAACAAGACAGCAAAATACGAGGTTCCAAGAGAGATGCCAGACTTCATGGAGAACATTTAAAAAAAATTTTTTTGCTTTGTTTTTTGAGACAAGATCTTGCTTTGTAGTTCAGGCTGGCCCTGAATTCACTATGTATTTCAGGCTGGCCTTGATCTCTGAGTGACCTTTCTGCCTTAGCCTCCCGAGTGCTGGGATTATAGCAGTGTACCACTATGCCTGGCTAAAATTTTAGTCATAATAAAAGCCAAAATATGTCTCAGAACTGTTTGTCTTAACTGACCATTTATATTTAATAATAAAAGACTGATTGATGATAACAGCATATCATAAATTCTGCAGAAGGAAAGGAGAACGTTTTGTGGAAAATCTGTTTTTGTGTGAGTTTTATTATTTTTTAAATCAGCACTTAAGAACAAGTTGATTGCCTACCTGCCTTGCAAGTGCAAGGTCCCAAGTTCAATCCCCAGTACAAGAAAAAAAAAAGTTGGTTGAAAATCTGCCTCAGAATTTTGAAATCCATTAAAACAGAATTTGAGCCAGGTGTAGTAGTGCAGGCCTATAATCCCAGCACTAGGGAGGCTGAGGTAGGAAGCCTGGAATACATAGTGAGTTCAGTCAGCCTGAACTACATAGAGAGACCCCCCCATAAAAGTTTAATGCCGAAGGGAGAAAAAGCCCTCAAACAAAATCAGTTGGGCATGGTAGTAGAATGCCTATAATCCCAGCATTCTGAAAGGCCAAGGAAGGAGGATCCTGGACTGAAGGGGCAGTTTTGTGACTTTTCTAGACCCTGTCTGAACAACAACAACAACAACAATAATATTATTATTTTTAAAATTTAAAAAAAATAAAAAGGATGGGAATGTAACTCAATGGGAAGGCCTTGTGTTCAATCCCCATAGCCTATTGGGAGGGGAGAGCCAAAGTTTATCTGAATAAAGTAGAGAAAAATACTGCATCCCATGCCTAGATTGATGTGATCTTATAGACATATCTCAGTTTTCCCTGTTGATCGACAAATTTCATGCAATTCCAATGAAATTTTCAACAAGATTTTCAGGTAGAATTTAATTAAAGTAATTCTCAAATTGTGTGAAAAAACAAA